TAGCTATGAAAGTGTTTTATACCTACGCGACAAGATCGAATTTGCATATATATTAGTTTACAAAAAATCTACAAGACGTTATTCTTGTGCGTAAAGCTAGAGCGTGACGTAGATGCTTTATCTCTCATTTTCTTTTTCAAAAACTCAGTGCAGCTTTTAAATTACTCTGTTTCCATATGTCTTTCCTTAAGATAGATAAAAATGAATGAAAAGATGTTTCCATGTCACTTTCGGTTATTTATATCCAGGGGTAGTTTGCGTCTCTGGCTCGGACACCTTGGGTAACCTGGTCCCTTAAATGGACGATGCAATGTTTAGTATTGTATTGTATGATTACCCACCCCGGCTAAGTTATAATCTTGCACTTCATAATTTGAAACTCTTGAATTTCGACTTCTGTTTATTACCAGCAGAATGAATGAAACCAATAGGTACAACTTGATCTGACTTCCATAACAATAGGAAAAGTGATTTTAACTGATACTTAAATGTTAAACTGGATCGGACGCAAGCATGACATTAGAGGAACAAAACAAGATCCCATGTGTTGATACTTGGAACAGGTGTTTTCGTCAATAGATATTACACTTGCAAAAATCTCCGTGAACACAATGTATTAAAAAGTAAAGTTACAGTGTCATATGTGACAGCAAAGACCTCAAGATATAGTAGTTACTGTGCCAAGTTGTTGTCATTAATAGATATTACATCTGCACACATCTACTTCGTAAAAACAACTCATTAAAATCTTATATCTTGATGCACCTGAAACAAATAAAGCGTCAGTGTCAAATGTGACAGCGGAGTTCTCATGAAATAAAAATTACTTTGCAAAGGTGTTGTCATCAATAGATATTACATCTGCACTTGATAAAACTGATTTTATATCTTAATGTCTCTGAAACAAATAGTGTCTGCAGTGTCATATGTGACAGCAAAGTGCACAAGAAATAGTAATTATAGTGCCAAGGTATTGTCATCAATAGATGTTACATCTGCACACATCTAATTCGTAAACACAACTCATCAAAATCTTATATATTAATGTATCTGAAACAAATAAAGTGTCAGTGTCATGTGTGACAGCGAAGTTCTTAAGAAATAGATATTACATCTACACACATCTAATTCGTAAACACCACTTCTCAACACTGAACTTACATCTTAATATTTGATACAAGTAAAGTATCAATATTATATGTGACTGCAAAGTTCTCAGGTGCGAGGGTGTTGTCATAAATTGATATTACATCTCCAAACATCTTCGTGAGTACAACGTCTTCTATCTTCAAAGACAACTACTGCTCATCAAGACATCAAGTGACACTCTTCTCACATGTGGCTGCTCTGATCATGAAGGTGCAACGTTCACATTGGATAGCATTTGTGCAAGTGCCTTAGAGGATTTTCTTGTTGCAACGTTTACACTTAACATACTTCTCATTCTTCTGGACTGAATGGACATCAGTGACCTCAGTGCAACGTTTCCTCTGGTTCTTTATCTTTGCTGTCATGGTAATTTCAGATCTTGAAATTGTTGAGCAACGGTACGGATTGTCGTCGACAGCTTCTTTTTTTCCTGATCACACTCTAACTTGCAAATTTGTAAGTGTATACGCAAGACCTTTAAAAAGAAGAAAAAAAAATTGGTGTTGATACAGAAGCAGTCAAGGAATGAGACCTAAAATTACCCTAGATCTGAGTAGAGTGGCTCAAGGGAGTTTCGTCTTGCCTACACTTGTTCGAAGACATAAACTCGATAAATTTTACGAGTTACGAAGTTCCATGAAGAAAAATGTAGGAAACAAATTAATTAAGATGAGCCCATTTTCAGCTGGTCAGTCCACAATTTGCGCTGTCTACAATTAAAGGGTGCAGATGCGAAAAGCGTGACTAAAACGAGAATTGGAGGTGAAAATATCAGTGCTTTAGTGTGGACGGTATGCGTTATTTTGGTTCTGTACACTTAACATGTATTTGAGCGGCCTAATTAAATATCGTTGCACACAACAATTCTTCGAATTAAACACAATTAACGGAAATTATCTTTGGAATCTGGGTAACTAATATAAACTTTTACCAACTTACTTCGTTGTACTTCGTCGATCTGTGATTCCCAAACATCGAGAGGAATGGTACCACTCACGTCGCCGAGAACTGCTTCCATCAAGTTAAGTAGTTTGCGAGGACTTCCCACTGGACGTTGGTCTTTCACATTCAATATCTTTGCGCGTGTTTAGGATGTCTAAGATGGTCACAGGTTCCCCTTGGAGCATACTGAAATGAGTCTCGCATTGTTGAGGGATGGAAATGTTTTTCTCTGTCTTCTGTTTTAGTGAAGTGCTTCAGTTTCACAAGGCTATGGTTATTCTGACTCTCTAGAAGTAGTGGTCTCTTGTGTGTGGAATAGAGTAGTGTTTCTCGACTGTCTTTAGCTGAAGTCTGCAGAAAAAAGGTGCAGAAGTTCGTAGCGTTCCCTCTATTTCGTCTCGGGTGTGATAGGCTGTGAACGCACCCAACAGTGTTTGCTCTAAGGTTAATAGTTTAGCATTGAAGCCATCACCTTGAGAATCGTTTTTGTTTTTGAACAGAGGCCTCTTCGGAGCGATTGGAATTTGGAGCGGCGTTGGAGAAGGCTTTTTCGATTCTGGAATAGGCCTCGGCGATGCTGACGGGGTAGATTTTGACAAAGATGGAGCAGGCCTTAGGGTTAGGGTTAGAGGAGAAATTCTCCTAAGAGGAGAAATTGAAGCCTTGTGTGTAACTGTAACAATTTCCTTTGACAATTTCTTCTTACCGCGGCAGCAACCTCCTTGAATAGATTTTACAGAAAATAGATAGTACTGAAAACGTTAAAAAGAAAAAAGCTGCAACTTTATGTAAACAAGTAAACAATGATCCTTGCTGGAGAGCTGCAATTTACAATACAATTTACAATACACAACATACAATACTCACCTATCAGGATTACACACAGCATCTTATGGTCGATTGGTGTTGTGTGATAGTGTGTGATAGCTAAAATAAAATTAACATGGAACTAAATGCAATGGTGAATTTTCCACGCAATTCTCCCGCGTTTTGGCCTTTTCTACATATAAAATTGGTTTTTAGCTACCTTGGACTTAACCAAATCACATGTTGATTCCTTGTAAGACGTGCATTTTATCACGAATTTCACACACAGAGGGCAAAGCCAGATAGACAACAACCAATGAAGGAGCCCTCTTTGAATTTATCCTTTTTATGCTCTTGTTTAATGTATCTTCGCTCATTCGACATCGCAATATATCTTTGGTTAGGGTCTCTCGGAGATACAACAGAGTTTTACTTTGCTTTTCGTAGTAAAATTACGTGGAATTATATTTTTTTAGGCAACTTACCATACAAATAATTTTGATTTTCTCTCTGTTAGAGGAACGGCGATAAGCATAATCCCTTCCGCAACCGTTGTTTGGTATCGCCACCAAACGCTCTCTCTCCAACGGGTACTATAGCTAGATGGCATTGTGTGACGAGAACAAACAACGGCTGCGATCAGGAGATAACAGTAAGCGTGGCACCGATGCGTCATATTTTTGCTTAGAAGCACTTAAACAATAGAGACAATAAACCACAAAATACCTGTGTGAGTTCAGATAAATTGCTTCTTGTTTTGTTTTTCTTTTAAGGTGAAGTAATGCAATATTGTAGTTCTTTGGAAAGTTATGCTCTTAATCTGCTTCAAAAATGAGAACATTTTCCGACCTCATCCCACCCAGCGGAAAAAAAAAACTCTTGCATGCCACGTATGCCTACTCTTCAAAAACTTCAGCTAGCCCCACATTTTAGATCACCCTTTACATTCAGTAATGTCATAAAAAAGAAGATTTTTTTGGGGAGAACATTATTATGTTTTTCACTCCCCACCTAAGCAGACCATGTTTTTAAGGTATCTCTCCACCAGATCATTTCTCTAAGTTGCTTTCCTTTTATAAGTCGCCAATTCAGGTGCGAGAATCCAATCAATCAGTTCATTCTGAGCCAAACAGGCATGGAGAGCTGGGAAACGGAATAAAAGTACTGTTTGTTAATTGTCCATCATACACAAAGGATGGCGCAAAAAACATCTTGATTACGACTTGTTTAGGTGGTTATATCCACTGAAGCTTAAAAAGTAAAAAAACAGACAAACAACACAGGTGGGGAAATGACCCTTGCAGATGGGTGTCAATTAGCGATAGGAAGTTTTTTTAAAATTTTAACTTAAAGAACTGAAATGCTTTTTTCAACGAACTCACATTTTACTTTTTCAAATGAAGTTTAATAAAACTAAGCAGTTAAAATGATCACATGATAACATGATCATAACTCTACATTTCACGTCATCACATTTGAATTGAAAAAATAAAAGCAGAATAAGAAACATTAATGGGGCATTGATGTGCTTAACACGTGAAACTGGCTGTACTATACAAGACATTGAATATCAAGTTAATAAAGGATAAATAAGCCATGAATATCAATTGGAAGGTAAAGTTGGTGCTCACCCAAAACTGGAGAGTTTATTTTTATATCAATAATTTGAAGAAAAAGCATTCTGATCGAGAAAGTAGTAAAATAAATCAGGCTTTGAAAAGATCACGAAACATTTTGATTTATCATACATGCTTCGTTGTGTCAACATCTTTTTCAATTACAAAAACTCTTTAAGTGAAAGTTAATAATTCTTATTTGAACTTCGTAATGGGCCATTCTCATCACAGAGCAGTGGTTAAGCGGTAGAGCATCAGAGCGAGGAATCCGAAGGTCTGAGGACAAAGATGTGATTAAGGCACATCCAAACATATCCTACATTTTAAAACGCTCTAGTCATCGAGATTTAAGCTTATTCGAATATTTTGGCTTGTTATAAAGACAAAATTTCTCGAGGTATATTAAATAATGTCTGCGTGTCTCACATGCACTTTGTTTTCAGGTAAAAAAGTAAAAGTTCAAGTCAGTTCAGATTATAGTTGAAACAGTGGTCATGAGATCACTCAGTCCCTCCAATCCAGAACTGCGTCGTTGCATCTGAACTTGAAGTACAACGGAATTTGGTGTTTATTGTAGCGTATAACCCAAAGTTATCCTCCCATGCTATGGCCGCGTCTGTGTCGCTTCCATCAAAATCGCAAGATCCGGTAAGGTCACTGTCGATATGTAAAGGCCAAACTCCTTTAAAATACCATGTCCGTGCGGTACAATTCACACACTTATTTTCCCGGATGTTGACGTAATCGTATGGCCGACAGGTTTCTACCACCGTGGGTACGTCTCTGATGATGTCAAAGTCTTCAAGTGAGGCTCTCAGGTAATCTGTATACACGGTGCCGTCTATGTTGTATTGACAAGTAGCTCTCCAGTGAGTCGAGTGACCTGTAAGCCAAAGAAGGGAAGGTCGTTCGATGAGGTACGCCTGCCAATTTGGGACGTCACCGCTGATGGCTTGGTAGTCATCATAAAACACGATGTGATTCTGCAGACAAAATAGGAGAGTTTAAGCCGATAAAGAAGATCTCAGGTAATATCCATATTTTAACCGACTGCTTCCACTTCCACCCAAGCCCGTTGTTTTCACTGGAAAATAATAAACAGAAAGCTCTAGTCAATGAGTGTTAGGAAGACTACCTGGAAAAGGTGTTTGTTGGACAAACTGAATGACTCAATCAGGTTCCAAGAAAACCCAGGCTCTGAATGAAAATCACAGAATACTTGGAATTTTTTATTGTTGCCATCAATAACAGTAAACAACCCAGAAGAGCTGGATCCAGCCTCTTTGTAATCCTGACAGCTTCTCCTCTGTTGAGTGTCGGTGTGATTTGAGTCATTTTTAGCTGTAAACAATCCAGACGAGTTAGATCCGGCTGCTGAAATGTCTTGATTGGTTTGATTTCTTTCCACTTGAATTTCGCAATATTTCCCAGCAAACGCCACCGGACAAGAGCAGTTGAATCGAACACTTGTAGGTTCACAGAGCTCAATGCAGGTTCCTCCATTAAGGCACGGATTGTTCCTGCAGCAGCCATTGCTACATGTGACGTCATCAGTACACGAAACAATGTGGTTAGGAGCCTTAAAAAAACAACTTTTCATTATTATATTATTATTATTATTATTATGATCCTAATTTGTGTTTGACAGAATTATGTTGCATCAACCTAGCTTTTTCTTTCATCAAGTTTGCAAGCAATCACGGTTGCTCCCGAAATCTCTAATGCCTCGCTCGATAGGCTATTTTTCATACCGACCGTGCCATAAAGATCCTTTAAAATTATCCCTGTTTTGAATATTTAAACAAGCGAGATCATCCAATGTCAAATATTTGCTAAAACTGATCAATGAGTCTTTGATTTTCTCATGTCTCTACTTAACTTAGGTCCATCTCGTTTTTTAAAAACAATGGTTTACAACGGAATCGAAAAAAAGACGGATTTTTCCATTTTCACGACAATTTCTTTTTAATAAATTCTCTATGAAATAAATTCTATTATATTTTGACCTGAGAATGATATTTAAGTTATCCTCGCTGTTGAGCAGCTCTTGCACCTGCAGGAACAGTTGCTTATTTGAATTGTTCTCCTTTAGTTGTCTGAGTCCATTTTTGTATTTCATCATTCGAAAGATTCATCTCTTTTCATAAAAAATTTAAGAAAGATGTGTTTACTTTCAAGACCTGAAGGACCTTACAGTACAGAATGGAAAAATAGTAGTTTTTTTTTTCGAAGTCTTCAGTGTTGCACAATAATTTAAATCTTCCAACATCTTTTGCAGCTGTTACCTCGAGCTCAAAACAATAAATGTTCTCTCTTTGAAATACTTTTGGGGAAGACATCAGCATCTACGAGGATAGGAGGTCATAATTTGTTTTAGTATTGCTTCTGATTATTTGAGAAACTATTTCATGGGTCACTTTGCTTCGAAAACTCGGAAATGGTAATCTTTTTGTGAAATAGATTATCAAACAACTTCCTACTACTGCACTTTAATATACGTACGCAACAATTTATATCTATTCAACATACTTTCCCAAATAGACTTAAAGTGCAGCACAGCTGTAAGCATGCATATATATTTATACATTTTTTACATTTTGCACTCATTTTGTTCGCAGTATGGACCTATTTTTGTAGTTTATCGCCACGCAGCAGCTTCTTCGGTTTTAAATATAACAAATGAGTGGCTGATATCTCAAGATGAAGACCTGGTATCATTCATGGTAAAAATACCTCATGACATAATAAAGTTTAACATCTTAGTAAATTCCTCTATTCTTCTCTGTGCTCACTCGTACTCAGGTTAATTAAGGCCTGGGTCAAAAATTATTTTCGCCTCCAGTGCCCCCCCAGCAAGGTTCGCGGAATTCGCGTGGACTGCGCGAGTAACCATAGTTACTTGGAATCAAGATCGCGTAGTTCGTGAACGGCATCCGCCATTTTGAAGTGTCGGCTTTGCATTGGTTTTTCCCATCTTCGCTGGTGAATCCGACAATTTAGAGGAAGACATCAAAAGAAGGTAATAACATTTTCTTTTCTATCTTCATTTCCTCAAAAAATGGCATGATATCGCTATCTTAAAGCCAAAGAGAACCCTTTTGAACCTACGAAGACTTCTAAACACCGCTCTCAAAAGAGACAAAACTTGATTTAATCTGCTTAGCACATCTCTCTTTTTTTTTGGCAGCCATTCCGAGTGGGAAAACAATGAAAAACGTCTTAAATATTCATAGCGATAACTACATTTTGATTTGCCTTGTGTTTAGTGGTGGGAATTTGCTCAAGAAAGCAACCGACGAATTTGGCGCCTAAATTAACTGTTTTTAGCTGTTGAGAGTATTATATTACGCTGCCACAATTCAGTCCGAGAGAGATGGTAGTGATACACATTTCTGCCAAGTATGAGAAAAATCCCTCGCAAAATAGCTAAGTTATTCTCAATTTTGTGGAAAATATGGGTTAAAGGCAGGGTGAACCAGGCCTTAATTAACCTGAGTACGCCCGCCCATGTATTATTACCTAGGAAACACCTCTTATCTCAAGATGAAGGCTACAAAGATGGGTTGTAAAAATATTCTATGACATTGAGAAATTTAGTACCTTGGTGGAGTACTTTCTCCGCAGTACGTAGTAAACGCTTCTCTGGATGTTTTTCAGAGAGTTCCTGTTTGTAAAATGGCTGCCTTCGTTCAACTCGCAGTATTTGGTGTTGTTCTTGACCTTGTAGTTTATCGACAAACATTGACAGTCGTTGATACACCACAGATAACACTGCTGTGGGTTTAAAGTGACAGAGTTGTGGAAGACATGGCCGACAAGCTCTTTATCATGTTCGGCGTCTTGTAGCTCATCAAAAGAGATCTTTTCACATTTTCCAGTGGAGCAGAAGCCTTTCACTTGAAAAGCTGAAATGAGTATACAAAAAAACTTTGCAACCATCATTTCTATCGTTTTCACACCCCACCTGGGGAAGCGATGTTTCTCATAATGGCCTTTCTTGAGCAGATTACTTATTTAAGATATCGCCCATCCCTATGTGTCAATCAACGTGTAAGAAACCAATCAATTGAGTTCACAGAAAATAATTTCGCAATATGAATTTTCAAGGTTCAGAAAAGTAACAAAAACAATTGATAAAATGAATGTTTCCAATTATGGCACACAAATAACATGATGCAGATAGTCTAATTAAGACATAACTTCACATTTTTTTCCTTCCAAAACTGCGCACATGTCGTCGAAAACACATGTGGGATACCGTAAGCTAGTTCTTCTGAGTTTTTGCGGATAGTGTTTACTCTTAAATCTAGCACATTGATAGTGACCATATCAACCCCTTGTAAAATTCAGTTCTGTTTCTGGTTTCCATCCAGTTAAACCATACTGACGACACTTTTATTCGCATCAAATTTGCACTCGTGTTTCTCTCTAACCTTCGTTCACGCTCTAGCCGCTTCCTACGTGCTTTACAACACAACGTGCTGATCACAGAAAAGGCTTCTTTATTTGTTCTTAAATAACACACTGGTAAAACTGCGTGCAGAATGAAAAACAGGGTGATTACGTTGAATGCTTAATACTTTTTATAATTTGGCTTTTGGTTTACTTTTTATAATTTGGTTTTTTTTCAATGCTGGAAAAACAAACAAGACAATATCTACATATGAATTTGAATGATTAACTATTGATATCTTGACGCCAAATAAATGATAGCCTTCACAGTGTGAGGAGAATTCAGTTGTTTTATTCATGAAGCAAACTCGTTACACTCACTGTCTGCCAGCAAGGACTTGCGGAATAATATCACTTTTGAAATCATTGTTTTGCTCATGTCAGAGATTAAAATACAGCAAGACATTGAGAAAACAAAAGGATAAAATGCGGTTGATTTTTATATCGAGTAATGTCCGACTACATCTACTAAATAAAAGCAGGCGATAGAGTTAGTTACAAATAGCATTTTGACGAAATATTCAGAAACAGAATTTTTCTGTTTTACACAACCAATCCACAATTGCTCGATTTTGTTGTGCAGAAAAGAAATTTAATATTCAATCGGTTCTTAGAGTTGAGATTTTCGCTAAGTGTTCGAAAAAAAGAGAATATGGTAAATTTTATTGTGACACATTCGACTAACAAATTGACATTGTCTCAATAGACCCATATTATTGACCTTACACACTCGCTCTAAATCAAAACAAAGTTGCATATTATATATATATCATAAGTTGGCAAAGATCACTATCATATTCGTGAACTTAAGATCACTGCAGCTTGAGACGGAAATTAATCTGAGTACTCTTATTAAATTGAAGCATTACTGCTGATGGCGCTTGAGTCTGGATAGTCATTATTTATAAAACAAGATTTTTTTGTTGACAGAATTATTCGACGCATTCATTAGTAACGAAAGCTTCTAAGAAGAGAGACGAACTTAACATACGAAGCAAAAATTCAAAATGATAAAGGCATTTCCTATTTGAGGGCACTTAATTTTCACATCCTTGTTATTTTCTGTAGACGAGAAAGAACAGGACATAGTTCTTTATGGCTTTAAAATCTTAGAAACATGACTTGAAAAAGATGTTTGTCGGACAAATAGAACATTCTATCAGGTTCCATGCGAACCCAGGCTCATAGTCAAAATCACAGAATACTTGGAAAGTTTGGTTTCTGTCATCAATGACGGAATACAATCCAAAGGCGGTGAACCTGGCTTCTTTATAATCCTGGCAGCTTCTTTTCAGCTGAATCTCGCAGTGTTTACCAACAAACGGTACAGGACAGGAACAGTTGTACCGAACACTTGTGGGCTCACAGACCTCAGAGCAGCTTCCTTCATTGAGACACGGATTGTTCCTGCAGCAGCCATTGGTACACGTGATATCATCAGTACATGGAACGATGTGGTTAGAAGCCTTGTACCCAAAAATTGATAACACAATAAAGCAGTTTTTTTTATAACTATATAATTATTATGATCCTACTTCGTGTTTGTGCATTGACCAAGCTTTTTCTTTCTATCAAGTTTGCAAGCAATCACGGTTGCCCCCGAAATCTCCAATACCTTGCTCTGATAGGAAATTTTTTTATACCGATCGTGCCATAGTGGTCCTTTAAAATTACCCCTTTTTCAATATTTGAACAAGCGAGATCATCCAATGTCAAATATTTGCTATTTAAACAAGCGAGATCACCTAGTCTTTGATTTTCTTATGTCTCTACTTTACTCAGGTCAATCTAGTTTGGTAAAAACTATCACATGCTTTACCAATGAATCGGTAAACGATTTTTCCATTCTTTCCATTTCCATTCTTGTGACAATTTTTTTAAAACATATTTTCTCTACGGAACAAATTCAATTTTATTTTAGACCCATTTAGGTTATCCTCTCTTGAGAGAAGCTCTTACACCTGCAGGAAAAGTTCTTTATTTGAATATTTCTTCGTCAGTTGCCTGATTCAATTTTTGTATTTCATCATTCGAAAGATTCGTATCTGTTCATAAAAGAAGAAACCAATCAAATGAGTTTACAGTAAATAACTTCACAAGATAAATAATCAAGGTTCGGAAAAGTAACAAAAACAAGTGTTAAAATCGACGTGCGTGATATTTTCCGATTGTAGCGCGCAAAAAACTTGATGCAGATGTTCAACATAAGACCACCTCTCACGCACACGGACATAACTTTAAATTTCTTTCTTCCAAAACTGCGAACGTGTTGTCTAAAACACACGTGGGATAACCTAGGCTAGTTTTTATGGGTTTTGCAGTTAGTGCTTACGCTTAAATTTAGAACATATATAGACATCGATAAACCCCATGTAAAATTCAGTTTTTCAGGTGTCTGTTTCTGATTTTCATCCAGTTAAACATGATTTAACGAAACACGCTTTGCTGGTGGAAATGGGATTTTAGCCTGATTCTCTGACTCTGATTTTTAACCAGCTCTGAGACGCACGCTATTACCCATAGTATCGGCAGATACGAAGGGGGCATGCTCAAACCTTTGTTTCCATTGCGGAAACACAACAGCTAACAATTGTTTCCGTTAACAGAATCATGACGTTTTACTGATGACATTTAATGATGAAAAATATAGGGTCATATAACCAAACTGGCATAACTGTTAAATTTTATTCAAATCATGGTGTCTGAGTGACTGAGATCATGTCGAGGTCCATCGCGGCTAGCTCATCATGGCGATATCTGGTCATCGTTGGGAAACAAGCATCAGAAATTACATCGTCCGCCCTTTGAATGAACAACTAGGAGCTTGCTCTGATATCCTTTCCGATTTGTTGAATGGAAGGCTAAATCAGTCACAACAGCTGAGTTTAACGGTGATCTCACTCTGGTAACCGGAGCAATCTTCATGTTCTTGTGAATTCAGCTGTAGCTTATTCATATAACACATGCCTTGAGCAATTTGTTTCTCTTATTGTCATCTAAAAAAACTTGCGTGCTTTTATGAGCCACAGTTCGGTCGGATTTCACTGAATATTTCAATTTTGGATTCTCTATTAAAACTAAAAAAACTTCAAGCATAAGAGCTGAATTTGACCTGCCGAACTATTTCAGTTTGTGAGCTATTGCAGAACTTTGATGGTTTGACATTGATATTATTAAACCAATCAGATAATTAGAACCATTCTAACAAGGATTCTGATTGCCTTATTTTAGTATGTTTTATGAGAATTTAAAACATACTGACGATACCTTGTTTGCATCAAACATTGCATATTATTTTGAAAATAGAAAATTATGCGTGATGAATTTGACCCATGAAGAAGTGAGAAACACTCGACGAGGTCTCGTGTTTCTCCTTACATTTCTTTCGTGCTCAAGCCGCTTCCTACGTGCTTTACTAGAGAACGTACTGAGCACAGTCAAGGCTTCTTTATTCTTTTGAAAATAACACACTGGTAGATCTGCGTGCAGAAAGCAAAACAGGGTGATTTTATTGAATGCTTAATTTGGTTTCCCTTCAATGTTGGCAAAACAAACAAGACAATATCTACATATAAGTTTGAATGATTAACTATTGATATCCTGACGCCAAATAAATGATAACCTTTATCATACGAGTTCATACTTGCAATATCAGTTTAAGGTGTGAGGAGAATTCAGCTGTTTTATTCAAGAAGCAAACTTGTTACGCTCACTGCCTACTAGCAAGAGAAGTTGATTTTTGACATCGATTTTTGTCCAACTACAGCTGCTGAAAGAAAAACAGGCGGTAAAGTAAATTACAAATAGCAGTTGACGAAATATTCAGCGGCGACAGAATGTCTGTATGAGACAACCAATCCATGATTGCTCGATTTTATTGAAAATATAATATTCAATCGGTTACTGGAGTTGAGAATTTCTTTTGGCGTTTGGAAAAAGATTATGGTAAATAAACTCCAATCTAATCAAGGTTAATAACTGAGGCAAAATTGATAATGTTACTGTTGCAATTTCCTTCGACAATTTCTTCTTCTTGAAAAGATTTTACAGAAAATAGAAATTAAATGTTAAAAAGAAAAAAAGAGGAACCCATGGCTACAACTGAAACTGCATGTGTAAAGTTTGCGGCCAGCCTTTTCATGAGTGGATTTTCAGGGAGAACAGAGAACACTCGCCCCTAACAGAGTATTAGGGGGGGACTAAAGGAAATTGACTGCCAATGAGGCGGAATCATTAGAATATTGCAGAGCTACAGGAGGATCAGATAAATCTTTATTGTGACACAACTAACAAATTGACATCGTCTCCATAGCCCCTTGTTATTGACCTTGCATACTCGCTCTTATGTAAATTAAAACAAAGTTGCATATGTACAAGCATAACTAAAAAATCTGGCAAACATGTTCCAAACCTGCAAACTGCTTCTACAGCTAAGACGTTGTGTAATAATACTTTTAGGAGATACGATAAAAAAAGGAATTTTCATCTTT